GCCCCTTCTGCAGTCCCTTGTATTTCTCATCATTCCCCCGACATGAAAACTTTGTTTGCATTTTCCCTGGGGCTCCCCCCACATTGAAACTTTGTATTTTCCCTGGGGCTCTTTGTCCTCACCAGCACCCCCTCCCCAGGCGCCACCTGTAACAGTCTTTGGCTTCAGCCCCCATTACGCACTGAGCAGCATGTGCAAAGGTCCTGAGGTAGGAGGGGGTCCGCAAGGGCAAGGAGGTCGGTGGCTGCGTCTGAGGGCCGAGGTGGAGGGCAGAGGCAGGACCAAGCTGTAGGCCTTTTGGGCCTTGAAGCCCCTGCAGGGGGCTTCTAACCTGAAAGGGAGACAGCTGCAGGGGGCAGGACGGGTGCTGGGAACATGGTGGGACTCTGGGGGTGTCAAGTTGAGAGGCGGTGAGGGCTGGATCGAGAGGAGCAATGGCCAGCCAAGCTTCCCTGACGCCTGGCCCGCAGCCGGTGGGACCTGGGGTCTGCTTGGGCTGGAGCTGACTCTTCCCGTGGGAGCCCCCCAGGGGTTCTCTCCCGGAAGGTGCTACTGTTACAGATACAACTCTGCAGGGGAGGCGCCACCCCCAACCCACACACGTGCACCCTAGGCTCCTGGGGAGGGCCTGGGGGGAGGCAGGAGCAGCCTGAGGCCTGAGTGGGATCCAGGGTGGAGGGGGGGGCCGTGAGGGGCTCTGACACCCCGGTCCCCCATTCCTGGCGGCAGACGGGCAGGGGAGGAGGGGGCGTGGGTTCTGCATCCACGGAGCTGACTTGGTTCCACTCTCGGGCTGGCCCTTGAGGGGTGCTCAGAGTGAGGGCGCTGTGCAGCTGGGTCTGGGCCAGCTCCTTCCACCAACCGGAGCCTCCGCACCACCCCCAGGGCCAGGCAGCCCCTCCTAGGACCCTGCCTCTGGGCCCCTCCTCCCTCTGGGGACACCAGGGAAGTTACTGTGGTCCTGGGCCCCATTGGGGGACCCCCTCTCATGCTCTGAGCTTCCCCCCTCCTGGCAGCGGACGCTCTGCAAGGCTGGTGAGGCCGGGGCTGGGGCTTAGATGTCTTTCTGGGGTCCTCGTTCGGGCCAGCACACACACCGTCTCCTTGACCAGGGCCCTGGGGTGCAGGGCTTGCGCCCCGTGGCAGTTCGGTGCCCTTTGGGGAGTGCGTGGGGTGGGGCTCCCGGGTCCCTGCTGGCCCTGCCTGGCCCACTCTGAGGCCAGCTGGGCACTGCCGCTCGGGGGTCCTCAGGGCCAGGCAGACAGCTACGCGGGCATCTGGGTGGCCCGAGGACCCTCCGGGGGCAGCTGGGCCCGGAGGCCGGACTTCCCCGTTCACTCGGCGCTGGAGGCCCAGCAATGGCCTGGACGCTGCGCTTGAAGTGAGAGTCGGCCTCGGCGCAGGTCAGCTGGCAGCTGGGAGGGTGAGGCCAGCTCGGCTGCCGGGCACTGCCTTCCAGACTGGAAGGCCAGGACCACCCTTCAGCTTCATTCTGCTCCCATTCTGCCCAAGAAAAGCCCTTTCTCCTGCTAATAATGACCGACTGTTTTCCTGGCCTGCGGAAGCCCTGATAGGCTGAAACTGACCACGTGCCGGGGAGGAAGCAGAGTCGCTTGGAGACCGGAATCGCGTCTCCTTGGCAACCAAGCCTGGTGTGGGGAGGGTCTCGCTCCCCAAGGAGCAGGCTGCGGGCTGCAGGGGCTCTGGGCGCCCCTCCCTGGGCTGGTCTCCACCCCCTGACGGGCTTACCCCGTCGCCCCGCCAGCCACGGCCCACGGTGACCTCCATCTCGGGCTGCCTGTGTGGCTGAGGGCCGAGCTGGGGGTGCCACCTTGGCTCCCTTGCCTGGGTGTTAGGGCCTGGGGACAGCGGTCACTTTAGAGGCCCTCCCTCTGTCCCACACCCCACTAGAGCTGCGCTCAAGGGGAGGGATTGAGGACGAGGCAGGGGTGCCTGGCGCCTGCCCCCACCTCAGCCCTGGCCGTGGCGGTGCGTGCCTCCGCCTCAGCCTTGCGGGACCTTCCAAGCGTCTGCAAGACGGGCTGCCGGGTTCTGCTCCAGGAGCGGGCTGGCTGTGGTCGGCAGGAGCCCCTCGGCGCACCCCACACCTCCCCTGGGCTGTGGATTCCGAAATGGCTGAGTCGCTTAGGAGGCCCGGGCCTCAGCCTGGGGTGAAGACCCCCTCGCCTTTGGGGCAAACCCGCCTCTTCCTGAGGGCACAGGCTGGCCACCGGCCCCAGGGGCTTTGGGAACGTGAAGGAATAGTGTCCACCCCTTGCGCTGACCCCGTGCTTCCCACCTGCACCCCAAGCTCTCCCTGTCAGCCTGACCCCAGTGGGCGAAGTGCAGCCCCCTCACTGTGCGCCTGAGGCCTGCAGCGCAGCAGCCCCGCGGGTGGACAGAGCTCGGCTTAGGGAGTCGGCCGGAGGCTGCATGTCCAAGGCCTGCAGGAGGCCCGGTGGGCGGTGGGGAGGCAGCAGGCCTGGGCAGTACCCCCGGTCAGCTCGGCACGACGGGGCCCACTGCACCAGGGTGTGGGGGTGGACCCAGGGCGCCCCTTTGTCCCCGGGGCCTGCGGGAGGCTGCGCAGGAGACTGCGGGCCTGGCAGCCCCCACTGTCCCAGAGAGGAGGCGCAGGATGGGGGGCGACGACTCTGCCTTGCCAGGCGGCTTCAGGACCCTCGCCCCGCCGTCCCCACACGCCTTGCTCTTCAGCTCAGGCTTCCAAGGCTCCTCCCATGCACGCCTGGTGATTTCCCGGCGGTTCCGGGCGGTGTTCCCTCAGAGTCGGCCATGCACGCAGGCGGGCCCCGCCGCAACAGGCCCTCCCAGGAAGGTTGTCCCTGCTCTGAGATGAAATTTATCTGAAACATTTGCCTAAATTTTAATTATCTGAAAATTTTAGTTTTGCATTTATTTTTGGAATACAGGCATGGACCGCTGGGCTGGCCGCCCCTCCCCCGGCGTGCCGTGGGACTTGCTGTCCCTGAGATGTCCCCGCTGCCTCGCGGCTGCTCCGCCGCCGGGCCTGCTGTCCCTCCCGGCCGGGGGCTTCCCAGAGACCCTCTGCCGTCCCCGGGGCCTGCGCCTGGCTGCCTGGCACCTGGGGTGCCTCTCCTTTTCTCAAAGTCCACTTAGTATGTGCTGTGCCTCCATCAATCCTGGAATGTTCTCAGTGTGGTGTCCTCAAGCAGACGCTTTCCTTTGGGGTGTCAACCAGCCATGGCCCTGGGCGCCGTCCTCTGTCTCTGCAGGATGCCCTCCGGTTCCTGCCTCGGTCCCAGAGCACGAGCCCGGCGGCCCTGACCTGCCGCCTGGGTGCTGGCTGGCGCCCCTGTTCAGCCTGTGGCAGGGCAAGCCCCAGCTGGGCACGCCGGCTGCCCGCAGGGGCGCCCCAGGCTCTGCCCCAGCCACACGGCCTGGCCGTGGCTTGCGGGGCATTTCCATCACTCAGGAAGGCCCCGCCCGCCGCAGCCAGGCCCCCGACGCGGAAGAGACACTTCGGGCTCTCCTGAGTCTGGGTGACCAGAGCAGCCAGGCCAGGCCGAGAGCCAGGCCCCAGGCCGGTGCGGGCACTGCAGAGACGCTGAGTCCACCCGCAGCCGCTGACCACCGGGTGGAAACTCGGCCCATCGGGCTCAGCTGACTGCACTGCCCACCGCGGGCGCCCGCCAGAGCCGCCGCCGCCTGCCCTGGGCGCTGGGCCCGCAGCCTAGACGGCACAGCCACAGACCGCGGCCCAGCGCCGCTCCCCGGGCCGCGCCACCAGCCCCGGCCTCCTGGCAGCCGCGCTCCGGCCTCGCTCCCTCCGGCACTGCTGCGGGCCTGCTGCCTGCGGGCCGGGCCGCCGGGACCTCCGCGGGGCGGAAGCTGCGGCGCGGGCTGGCCACGGCGGCCTCGGCTCTGGCCGGGTCTCGGCGGACCTTCCGGCCAGTGAGGAGTTTTTCATGATGGAGTTTTTATTTTCACACGCCGGCGTGGCCAGGTCTCCACAGCGTCCTGCCCCTCTTTGTGGCGGACAGAGCGCGGACAGAGCGCGGTCGCGGGTGGGGTGAATGACTCGGGCCGCTTTGGCCTCCCCGGCCGCCGCCCCAGCCCCGGCCCCGGCCCTGCCCGTGCGCGCGTGGGGCCTCGGAGCCGCTGCTGCCGCCTGGCCGGCCTCGCCCGCTGCCCGCCCGCCCGGCGCGCCCGGCACCCACCGAAGGCCCCACCCGCATTCTCTGCCCGTCGGGGCGCGCTGACCCCGGGGAGGCGCCCGCGGGCGGCCCCGCGGTCTGGGTGTCGCCGGGCGCGGAGGGCGGGAGGGGGGGCTCCCAGCCAGGCCGCGCCGCCCGAGGCGACACCGGCGCGGGCGCGGAGGGCGGGAGGGGGGGCTCCCAGCCAGGCCGCGCCGCCCGAGGCGACACCGGCGCGGCACGCGCTCCGCGGACGCCGGGAGCGCATCTGAGGCCGCGTGTTCGCGTCCCCGAGCAGCCGGGGCAGGGGCCTGCGGGGCAGGCGGGCGGCCGCGACAGGTGCCGGGCCCCGCGGGGCGGAGAGGCCGCGCGGGCGCGGGCGGGGGCGGGGGCGGGGGCGGGGGGGCTGCAGACGGCAGAGCCGGCGCTGCGGGGCCGGCGGGGTCCTCGGGCGCGGAAGGGCCTCGGACACCCGCCCCGCGGCTGGCGACGGGCGGGGCCGGGGCGGGGCCAGGGCCGAGCCCCCCCCCCCCCCGCGTCTTTGTGCGTTTCGCCTCCTTTAGCAATAAACGTTCTTCCGAGCAGTTCCGAGGGGAGCGCGCCCCGCAGAGGGGGAGGGGACCTCGCCCACGCCGGGGAGGGGGGCGGCGGGGAGGGCCCTGCGCGCGGCGGCCGAGCCGGCACCGGAGCGCGAGCGCGGGCGCCGGCGGGCGAGGGGCGCAGGACCGCCCCGGACAGCCCAGCGCCCCGCGGGCCGCAGCCCCGCGCCTCCCGCCGCCCCCGCCCGCCCCCGCCCGGCTGCGCCCCGCCCCTCGCCGGGGTCCGCGTCTGCGGCTGCGTCCCCCGAAAGACGAGGCTGCGCCCGGTTCCGGTCCGCAGGGAGACCGAAGGGCGCCGCTCCCCTCCCGCCCGCGCCCGGAGCCCGCGCCGACGCCTGGGATGTGAGTGCGCCCCGACCCGCGCCCGCGCCCGCGCCCGCGCCCCCGCCCCCCGCGGTGAGCGCCCGGCGGGGGGAGGCGAGGGAACCGGCTCGGCGCGGGGTTCCCGACCCCCCAGCCCAGGGGCGAGGGCGGGGACGCGGCGCGCGCCCCTCCCCCCCGCAGGTGCCGCCTGCCCGCACCTGTCCCGCACCTGTCCTGCCCCGTCCGGACCACGCGCAGCTCCCCGGGGAGAAGACGCGCGCCCCCCACGCCCGCAACGCCCCATCCCGCAGGTGCCGGCGGGGAGGGGCTCTTCGGCGCCCCCGGTGCCAGGGCCGGCCTGCTCTCGCCCAGGGGGGCCGGCCTGCTCTCGCCCAGGGGGGCCGGCCTGCTCTCGCCCAGGGGGGCCGGCCTGCTCTCGCCCAGGCGCGCGGGGGTGGGGCGCTGGGTGGCCTGCGGTGGGGGTGGGGCTCTGGAGCTCCGGGCCATCCCCCCACTACTCCTCTGCCCCCTGCCTGGACTCCGGATTCCCTGTCTGGAGGCCAGAAAAGGGGAGCGCCCTGGGGGGGGGTAGGTCCCCTGACCGGGGCTTCTCCTGCCAGGCCTGCGCCCCAGAGGACCCCAGCCCGTAGCTCCCACGCCTCCCCCAGGACCCCCGGGAGCATGCTGCTGGCAGCCATGAAGGGCCTTGGCCTGGCACTGCTGGCCGCCCTGCTGTGCTCTGCGCCTGGTGAGTGTGAGGGCGGACTCGGGTGGCCCAGGTCAGGGGGAGCAGCTGGCCTTGCAGAAGGTGGGGAGGCCAGGCATGGGGGGCAGGACCAGGAAGCACCAGAGCTCGGCTGTGGGGCTGCCATCCTCTCGGGTTCCTGGGGGACACACCCCCCCTCCAGATCCCACCACCCCAGCTGGGCACCCCAGCCTCCACTCAGCGGCCTGGCTGGGGTTCCTGGCTCTTCCCCCGGCCCGGCGGGCGCCCTGCCCCATGCCCTCGCTGCTGGCGGTGTGAGCTCCTGGGGGGCTTCTCAGAGCCCCACCTGGTGTTTCGTCAAGTTCTGGGCTGTGGGGGGGGGAGCATGTGGGGCGCCTCCTGGGTGCTGGACCACAGCTGGCTGCATGGGGGTGACTTGGGCCCCACAGGGCCTCCCACAGTGCCAGTGATGGGATCCTCTCCCCCAACTGCCAGGAAGGCGTCCAGGTTCACCCCAGGCCTGTGCCCCAGGGCCTGTGTGGCCTGGTCAGCTCTGGCCTGGGTGCCAGTCTCCTAGCAGCAGCTGCGGGGGGGGGTGCCCCCGTTCCTCTGGTCATCGTCCTCCCTCGCCCCTTTTAGCTCATGGCCTGTGGTGCCAGGACTGCACCCTGACCACCAACTCCAGCCATTGCACCCCGAAACAGTGCCAGCCCTCGGACACGGTGTGTGCCAGTGTCCAGATCACCGACCCCAGCAGCAGTGAGTGGGGCCTGGGCCGGGCGTGGGGAGGGCGCGAGCCCCAGGGGCTGGGGCCAGGACCCCGGCTGTGCAGCCGGCGCGGCCCAGGCACCGGCCCCTCACTGGTCCTCTGCATATGCGGGGCTGGGGGCGCTGAGAGGCCTGGCTCTGCTGCCGGGGTCCCGCCGCGGCCGGGGGGCAGGGGCTCAGACGCACGCTCCCCCAGGCAGGAAGGACCAGTCCGTGAACAAGATGTGCGCCGCCTCCTGCGACTTCGTCAAGAGGCACTTCTTCTCGGACTACCTGATGGGGTTCATTAACTCGGGGATCCTGAAGGTGGACGTGGACTGCTGCGAGAAAGACCTGTGCAACAGGGCGTCCGGGGCGGGGGGCAGCCTCTGGGCTCTGGGCGGGGGGCTCCTGCTCAGTGTGGGGCCCCCCCTCTTCTGGGCGGGGCTCTGAGCTTCCCCTAGCCCGCGGCCGCCCCCCAGGGGGACTGGCCGGGCCAGGGACGTCTGGGCCCAGCCCGGCCTGGCCGTGAACTCCCGGCCTCCACCAGCTCCGAGCCCAGCCGGTGGCCAGCTCCGGGAAGCCGCGTCGGGCAGGAGGCTGGGCGAGGCGGCCGGGCCCCAGGTTTCCGAGGGAGGCCAGGCCCAGCCCTGCGGCCCGGCCCGGGTCGTCTTCTGCGGAGAAATAAAGTTGCCTCGGAGTCCGGAGAGCCGGTGTGAGCCTGGGTGTGGGGTGGGGGCCTTCCTGGCAGGGGTTGAGGGCGGCCGGGGCAGGCGGTGGACTCGGGTACCCCTGGGGCTGCCGCTGCCCGGCTTGGGGCAGCCGGGGGAGGGTGGCGCCGGACAGAGGCGCAGGCCCGGCCTGTCCAGGGTGGCGCCTGGTGACCCCGCGTGCACGCTGGTCTCGCGCGGCGTGGGGCTGCGCCGGGGCGCCCCGTGTTGCTGTCCGCGCGTGCGCGCTCAGCCGTCTGCGGGAGCTCAGCGGCGGGGCGGTCAGCGGGGGCCCGCGCAGCGCTGTTGGGGGCAGCTCAGGCCCGAGTGGGGCTCCTCAGACCCAGAACCCGCCTTGTGGGCAGAGAGCCCTCGCCCCACCCTGAGGTGGTGTCTCGTGGTGAATGGCCCCACGGTGAGCAGAGGGGGGTCTGTCCTGGTAGATCCCGGGGTGCTGCTTTTCTGCCCCTCCCCCACTCCGGCGGTCTCTGTTTTAGTCCCCGACACCCCCCAGCTCAACCTGCACCTCCTCGTGTGGCCCACCTGCGCCCAGCTCGTCGCGGCCTCTCCTGGGCTCGCCGGGGCTCGGTGCTGGGGCGTCGAGCAGCCGGGAGGACCCCCTCGCATCCGGGCCTTGGCATTCCTCCCGGGGCGCCCCTGCAGGGATGGACATGGCTCTCGGGTCCAGAGGGAGCGGCCCTGCCAGGGTCCCCTGTCAACCACCGGCCAGTGGAGGGGCCGGGCCTCCGAGGCCGCTTCCGTCCGACGGCGCTGTGCCCTGCAGCGTGCCGCCGCCCCAGCGGAGGGTGAACCGCGCAGTCAGCGGGCGACCCAGGGGCTGCAGCCACTTCGGAGCGAGGAGCCGGGAGTCCCGACGCCAGAGCAGCGCGGGATCCGGAGAGGAGCTGCCCGAGCCCGGCCTCCACGCCGCCCTGGCGCTGACTCCAGGGAAGTCCCGTCGCAGGGAGCGGGTTTCCCGGCTCCTGCCCTGGCCTGCAGGGCGGCACGGAGGGCCCCTGCGGCCGGCTGCCTCCTGCCTGGCCCGTGAAGGCTGTGGCGCCGGGCGGCGGGGCTGGTCCGCGGTGCGGGGACGCCGGACCGGGCAGCTCGACCTGTGTGGGAGCAGACCCGAGGGCACAGCGGAGGCAACCGCCCTGCCTGCTGCCGGCCCGAGCCCAGAGCGCCGCGCCCCTGAGTGGGCCCTTGTCCCTGGCAGCGGCCTCGGGCGTGGGAGCAGGTCTGGGCTCTGCCCCCTGCCCTCCCCATGGTCCTGGCACGTGGGGCGGTGCCGCATGCCAGGGAATCCCCGCGGAGATGGGGGCGGGGGCGGGGGGGCGATAGGTACTCCACGGCCGCCCACAGAGCCCCTGGCACCTCCGCCACCGTGCGGGCAGCCGCCGCAACCAGTGCTTGGGAGAGACTGGACCCCCGAGTGGGGTACCCCCTGTGCCTGGGGTGGCGTGTGGGAGGGGGAGCCAGGACCTAAGGAAGGTGCCCCAGTGCAGTGTGTGTGGTGTGTGGGGGTGTGGGGGGGGTGTGTGACCCTCAGCCGCTCTGTCCAGCTCCCTTCCGAGGTTCCTGGGGCACTGGGGTGCGTGCTCAGAACCCCGCCTTCGGGTAGCAACAGAAGGGGCTCCTGGCCCCTCCTCCTGGCCTGGCCCGAAGTCTGGGCGCCCCCGTGGGGTGCTGGGGTCCTGCTTCTGTGAACCTGCGTGGGGATGTCCCTCTGCAAAGCCGCCCTCTATGGGGGGTGTGGACACGCTGACCGCGCGGGCGCCCTTGGCGGCCCTGGGCCCCCCTCTGCCACTTGGGGTCCCCTGCCTGGCCCTCCCCTGCGCCCCTCTTCCCTCTGGGGGCGCCCTCGCTCCATGACCCAGCTTGGGAGAGGAGACCCTGAGCCCCATCCCTGCGCGGCTGTTGGGGGGCAGCGCTGCCAGGCCGGGTCAGAGATGCACCTGTGCCCCGTCCATGGGGGTGCGCGGCTGGAGCCCCTCCTTCTCCGTGGGCTTCCAGTTCACCTTAGTGAGGCGGTGGCCGCTTCTGGGGTGCAGACTCAGGGCCCCGAGCTGGGAGAACACGGGGGCGCGGGTGGAAGCACCGGCCTACGGGGTGCGCCTGCTGCTGGAAGCGGAGCTCCCGGGCCGCCGCCCCGCCTCCCCGCGCGCTCCGGGCCATGGGGGTGCGGCCCCCCGCGCCGCGTGTCCCCGCCGCCGCCCGAGGGGGCAGGTGACCTCGGCCCGCCGCGCCTGGGGCGCCCCGCACAGGTGTCCGCGGTCGTGCTCGCGCCCCGGGCCCTCTGGAGGCGCCTGCCCGGTGCCCCGGCCGCAGCCCTGCCTACGAGGCGGGGTCGGGTCACCGGCGGGGTCCGGGCGTCGCCCCGCTTCCCCGCGGCTCCCGGGGCCCGAGCCCACGCGCGGCCGCTTGCGGAGCGCGCCCTCTGGCGCCCGCTCCTGGGACTGCACGTCTCCGGCCGCGGCCGCCCCCCCCCCCCCCCCGCGCGCCGAGCCCCCCCGCCCCCGCCGCCCCCGCACGTGCGCGCCTGACTCGGGGCGTCGGAGCGCCACCCGCGTGCGGGCGCCCCGCGGGCCTCGCAGCCGCACCCTCCGGGGATCCGGGGAGCAGAGCGCGTCCCGCCTCTTGGGGGCGTCCGCACCGCCAGCGGGCAGCGGGCTTCGCACGTGGTGGCCGCAGGGACAGCGGGGCGCGGCTCGGCACCCCAGGTCACCCCCAATACCCCATGCCGGACTGCCCCGGCGCTGAGCTGCGGGGCAGATGCCGCCCGCCCTCTCCTGCGCTCCTCCCCCAGGACAGCTCAGCGGGGGCCTCTGGCCCCTGGGGGTCTCCATGGGGGGCCTGGAGGCTCCCACGTGGGAGGAGCCCCTCCCACCCCACCCCCACCTGCCCGGGGCGCCCCAGAGCTGCTGTGGCCCTGCGGGGCCTGCTGGAGGGTGGTGAGCGCCGAGAGATGAAAGCCCGGCCGGGACCTCCTCGGGCAGCCCCGCTGCGCCGCAGGCCCTGTGGCCGGAGAACGCGGCCCGGGCAGCACGACCTTCCGCGACCAAAACTGACCCGAACCGAGGGGGCCGGGACCGCGGGCCCAGGAGGCCTGCGCTGGCCGCGAGGCTGAGCCGGAGAGCCCGTCTGTGCCGGCGGCGGGCGCGGCGCCGGGGGTCTGTGCGGGCGCGCCGGCCCCTCCGCGCCCCCCGGCCGAGGGCTCTGCTGGCCGGACAGCGGCCCGGGCTCGGCCGGGTGCAGGACGCGGGGGCGCTGGTGGGGCCGGGCTCTGCGCACGGGCGGCGTCCCTGGGGGGGGCTCGTGGGGCCAGCGCGGGCCCCGGCGGAATTTAAAATTTCATTTACCCTCCCAGGGACCACGTGGGGCCCACGAATACTGACTGTTGGGTCTGTTTGTTGGGGCCGGGGTCCCCGGGACTAGTGGCCCCGCCCTGCCCAGGAACAGCGGTCCCCCAATCTGGCTGGGCTCCACAGCGGGCCGCGAATCCCACGGGCCACGGTGAGGGTCATGTGCCCGGGCCTCCGTGAGGGGCCAGTGGGCCAGGCCTGAGCTGCTGGCGCCTGCTGACCAGGGCCATCCCCGGCTCTCCGGCCGCGGCCCACCAGGGTCTCCCCCTCCCAGCCAGAGTGGGGCCCCCAGGGCGCCAGGTCGGGCGCAGCAGGAGTGGGGTGAGCAGCAGAAGGGGCAGGAGGGTGCAGTGGGAATGGTTTATTGTCTCGAGAGGAGGGAAGGTCGGGCCAGCGCACGGAGGTCGCCCCGCCCGCTCTCCTGGCGTCCTGGACAGCGGTGGCCGTTCGGGCCTGCCCAGGACACGGGGAGCGCAGCCCCTCCCTCGGCCTTGCCCCCTCCTGCTCCTCACCGTCCCTCGTGCGTGCTGGGCCGAGGGGCCACGGTCAGGGACAGGGGCTCCGCCAGGATGGGGCAGAGGTGCCGGCCCCTGCTCGCCCCCTCAGGGGAGCAGCCCCGCTGGGGTCTCAGGGGGAGGGAGGCGCCAGGCAGGGCAGCCTCACAGCAGGGCCCAGAGGAGGCCGAGGCCCAGGCGCAGTAGGAGCGCCCCCCGGCCCAGGGCCCCGCCGGGGAGCCGGCCGCCCAGTTGCACAGGCTCTTGAAGCAGCACTGCCGCAAGATTTGGCCCTCGACGAAGAACCCGGCCGACCACTGGAACTTGGAGTTGGTGTTGGGGCACCTGTGGGCGCAGCCCTTGCTGAGCACGAGTTTCCTCCTGGATTCTGCGGAAGACAGGGGTGGCAGGGCCGGCCGGCTCCAGGGAAGCACGAGGGCCAGACACAGGCCCGGGGTCGGAGCCATCGGCCCTGGGGCGCCCGGGAGCCCTTCACGGGCCCTGCACCAGACAGGTGCTGCAGAGCTGCCCCGGGGCACCTTTGAGGGGGGCCCTGCTGGGCCTTGCGGGTGCTCTCTGAAGCCACGCGTGACGGGGACACCCGGCCAGCCCAGGGGCCGAGGCTCAGGGCCCAAGCTCAAGCCAGCCCGACGGGTCTGTGGGCGGTGGAGCCCAGCGCCCTGGAGGGGAGCAGAGCGGGGGAGGCCTTCCTGGGGGAGTCCCTTTACTGCTCGGGTCTCGTGAAGTCAGGTGGCTTGTGTGGGTGCCCTGCGTGCGGGGTCACTGCATGGTAAATGCCATGATGTACCCACAGCACTGTGGGCCCAGCTGAGGAAGCCTGGGGGAGAGGCCAGTACCACACCCCCCCCAGCAGCCAGGGCCAACCTCCTGCAGCGGGCACCCCCAGTGCTCAGGGCGGCATCTCCAGCCGCAGGTGGCCCCCAGTGAGCCCTCCCTGACTCCTGCTCTGGCACTGCCCATGGCCAGGCCCCAGGATGCCCCCAAGTGTGAAGGGGAGACTGGGGGAAGGTCCCCACAGCCTGGCTGAGCCTGGAAGCTTCTCCACAGGCAAATCCTTTCCCTTCCATAGGAAAAAAGGGGGGCTCCGAAGGAACCCTGGAAAAGCAGTCACCT